TTCTGACATAAATTCTAACGCGCAAAGTACACTTTCTTCGAAAGATCAAAATGAAAAAGATGTAATACATCTCAATTTTGCTAAAGTACCAATAAAGAAAGTGGCGACGGAAGTCGCTTTGCAAAGCAAAAAACTTAAATTTGGAGGCCGTATGGCAGCGGAGCTTCGAGTCTCTGACTCATCCAACATGCCGACACCTGATGCACAGAGAGCGCACGGAAGTGACCCACGGAGCGAGGAAGCTTCTCCCGCTTCTAGCTCGACTAAAAAAATAAGTCGTGAGGAATTGACGGCATCATATGAGCGAGAGAATAAACGAGTTGAAAAGAATATAGCAAACATTGCTCGTTTATTAGGTAGTGGTACCACAGAGACCTAGTCAACCTCTTTTGGTGCGGGTACGAGTGATTTCTGTGCATCTACTAACTGCTCATATTTGATTAACATCTTTTCACAAAAATCGTTAATGCGCGCTTCAGACTCAAGTGTGGTATACAGCTTTTTTTCAAGTTCCTCGTAACTCATGCGTTTTTTTTTTTTAACGTCTCAAGTTCGTTCTGTGATTCGGGTGAAATAGTATGATGGGGAACCGAAAAATCTGCATGCTGTACCACAGTCGCACAATTTACCTCGATCTTATTCTTGACATTGTGCATAGTTACAGGAATAATATGATCCTTTCCATTAAAAGGAATTTTTAACTCATCTTTGGCCCAATCTATAACGCATTTGTACTTCTTCAAAAGTGGATTCGGAAATATTAATGTTGGCTTTTTATATTTCACAAAGACAAAATCTTCGTATATAGTAAAACCTGGAGGGAATGTTATTGGTAAATTACGGATGACACCAATGGATTCAGTTGGAACCGTAGCAATACCATTGAGATCATATATTTCTGATTTATCAATCTTCCCACCCACACGTTTAACAATGTCGTCTGTTACAATTGCAGGTTGGGCGGCCGAATCTAATGTCATTGCTGGAATTTTCAGACGTTTAATTTTACATGGTATAGTTGCGATAGTTGTGGTAGGTTCTTTCTTTATAACGAAGTCTATCTCCATAGGATCGTCCAAAGTCTCTTCCTCTCCATCTGAATCAGGTATTTCCGGAACTGCCTCTCCGTAATTTGTAAAATCTGGCGTAGATAAGCATTTGTCCCCAGATTTAAGTTTCTCCAACTGGTGTGGGAGTAAAACCTTTTCAAGCATGTCCAATAAAATTTGACGAATATTCTGTTTAAGGGTAATTGATTTATTGGGCCGTACGGCAGAAATAGATACGTCTTTTTTTATTTTGCGTGATTTGAGTTTCTTAGAAGATAATTTATTCGAATTTCTCTTTGACTTAATTTTTTGGCGGTACTGCCGAACTATTCTTTACTTTTTTTTAAATGCGTAATATTGACATTAATATCAGCTTCAGATTCGGATGAGGTTCCCTCGGAATCGGAGCTATTATCTGAAGAATTATTATCAGAAGAGTCTGTATCTGAACTAGAGTCGGAATCCACAACAACCTTATTGATATTACCGCTTTTTTTAGATCTATTCTTAGACCTTCTCTTACGAGTACACTTACGAGAATTATGCCCGGTCCTGTTGCAATTTGAGCATTTGCGTTGGGATGTTTTCTTAAGTTCCTTCTTGACCTGTCTAGATACGGCTTTATTTATCGATAACTTACTCATACGATTAGAAAGTTCCTCGTCAGAATCTTGTTCAATATTTTTCAACCGTACGACTGAATTGTTTTCTGTATTTTTCTGCGGTACCGCAGCCGTACGCCCTGAAAAGAAGCCAGAAATATTTTCTAATACGCCTTTGGAGATAATATCTGTGATGTTCTGAAGAAGTGATTTATCTTTGGTTGTGGCATTAAGACGTTCTAATGTCGCATACCCTGTCATCCATTCTTGATCATTGAAATGAAGTTTTGGATCTGAATATAATACGCCCGGTTCCATCCGACTAGGGCGTGGTAACTCTCTACTTTGCGTCTGTGGAGCGGGGTGCGCGGTGACTACTCCTATTATCACATCTTACTGTCGATTCAGGTTGCTTTTCTTTACTGATCTTTCGCTAAAATTAAATATAGTGTCTTTTAATATTGATTTGCATGTTGTCACTTTTTACAATGATATTAATGGTATTGCCTACTTTTTTGTTGATTATCCGAATCGGAGGAAACAGTAGAGCTATTACTCGGTTCATACTGATAACAAATACATAGCTTTGGTCATGAAAACGGATATCGATCAATCAATCCAAATTTCAACTTACATCACCATCATAATCATATCCATGTTTTCTTTTATCGATCTCCTGTTAAAATATGTACAGATACCTTTTAATATTGATCTATATATCATCATTTGCATTGATATATTACTTACCTTCTCTTCACGATCTGAATCGGAGAAATCAAGATCATCACTGGAAACGTACTTATAAAATACACTCCGATTAGAAAAATAGATTACATAATGATCACATAACGTCTACTTACTTCGCTGTCAGTCTCGATCGAATAATCATCCTCCTATGAAAATACAATGTCAGTATAATAAAAATAACAGGTAAGACCGCTGATTGTGATTCAAGGACTGACCAATTTATCATTATATTCTTTCTGGTTCGTTATAAAGGTTCTTTTGTTAACCCCAAAAATAGCAGGCCCAACTATAGTGTTTTCTGTAATTGTAACCGAAGGTTCATTGGCTGAATTATGCTCCTTACATTCTTTCCATTTTCTCGCTACTTTGTAATCAGGCCGTTTTCCCTAAGTGAAAGAAAATTAACAATATTAATGATATTGGTATTCTCAATTGATACATCATTCTATCCCCCTAGTGTTCCCGAAGAATTTAGCACAAGGAAAAGTTCCTAGTGCCCCAGGGGGGCCAGTGCTGGGTCATCCCAAAGATTTGAACACCAGACGAACCCAAAGTTCCCGTGCCCCAACACTGGCTTTGTGGCTCAACCCAAAGTTTTGAATGGTAGGAACTCCCGAAGAGCCTTACCACGCCACTTACTCTTACATTTCCAACAAAAAACTCGTACTTTCCTTCTTATAATTACTTAGCAACTGTCTTGCCTTATCATATTTCTTGCCTCTCCTGTATTTTCCCATGTCAGCAATAACTTCAAGAGATGCTGTATAAGATTCTATTTTGCGGTTGAATGGTTCCAAGTCGCACTCTTCTAAGAAATCAGTAATATTCCACCTAGATGGTGGTCTCTCGAAATACTTGTGCACCTGTTTTTAGGATAAAAGATGAGTCAAAAGTTATGATTATGTTAAACCCACAAAATTCAAAAGCTTATTTGTCGTACTGTTTTGGACATGGCATTCGGCGTTTCTTTATTCTGTTTTGGACATGGGCTTGACATAATATTGGCGAAACGACAGAAATGAAAGTCGCGTCGATATAATTGTTAAACCACGTGATTATAGCGTTCAATTCCGTGCTCCAATCGACAGCAAAATTGTATCAGCCAATCAAAAATCAGTGAGAATTGAGGACGTTCCCCGTTCCGCGTATTATTCCTTGTTTTTCTTTTCACTCCAAGACTTCAAGTGTTATTTTTTACAAAAAAATATATACTGCCATTCTCAAGTTGTATATATTATATATTTAATCGAAAAAATAACCAATGCCAGATATTTAATTTAGGACAAAATTGTCGGAAAATGATTAGTGATCATACAATTTCCGCTACTGCTTCTGGTCTGTCACAGAATTGAAATGGCGTTGCTTTTTCTGGAGATACACCTCTTGGCCTGTAATTCACGACGGCATAGTTCTGCGTTGGAGAAATGTTGTTATCTGGAGAATGTCTTAATGCCTCTTGGGCAATTGTCATGGCGTGGGCTAGGTTTTTGGCTCCATGCGCTACGATGGCATATACTGCACCCATTTTACGTAAATAACGCGAAATAAGTCCATACGATTTTAAGAATCCATTGAACCATTTAACTCCTGGCTTACCGGGATCACCTATTCGGTCAGACGATATAGCATTCTGTACCCAAGTGAGTAGTTCCTTAGCTCGTTCTTGGTTCTTCTCCATAGATCTAAATTTTCTAGGAATATCTGGTTGACCCCTGTTCTTGGCAAAGCCTGTTACTCCAGAGTCTGTAATGCGTAAAGTTATAAGTTCAGCGGGGCGGATACAAAGCATTATCATAACATCTGCGAGAGCTTGTAAATCGGGTAAAGACGTATCCATCCAATCTTTCCTTAACCGATTCTAAGCGTAAAATGATCTGGGTAATCGATTTTTTTTAAATCCTCGGCAATTTTTCGCCGACTTGCCTGAATTTTATTAGACTTCTCTGTAATTTCAACGGTTTTTGTCGCTTCAACTATATTATATGGAGCATTAAGATTTCGTAATTCTTTCCGAAGCCGGGAAAGCCTAGAAGACCCAGCAACTTCATTCAAAGCCGACTTAGCTAACTTTATTGCTTCGGCCTTTACATCCTTTTCACCAAGTTTATCTCGTAAAATCCGTTGTGCTATCTCTTTGATAGTTTCTTCTGATTTTACTAAGGCCTTGTTTAAAGTTACGATATTTATATCTTTTCGCTGGCTTTTTCTCTGAGTAGGAATCAATATGCTTACCTGGTCCTCACTGAATTTGAATCCTTCCCGAAGGCGTCTGCGTGCCTGATTCCGCTTTCTATCATCCGTAAGATTCTCGAG